CTTAAAATTAGCCCAAGTGGTTTCAGTGCCTAACTGCCCCTGATTTCTAAAGAAATTGGCGTTTCTAATGCCTAAGGTGTTAAAGAAGAATATCATTTAGATCCATAAAAATCCTAGGTAGGCCTTTTGAAAATGTGACCAATTTATTGCAACTAAAATATATGTGATTAAGCAATTGTGCTCTTGGACTTTGCTTATCCCAAAGTTGTTGCAACATGGAGGGAATATATAGTCATGTTTCTATACAATACATAGGCATTACTGTTTCTTCTGTTGACAAAATAATGTTCGTTTTGACAGAAACTGCTGGAAAACTTGTGAATACCCTAATCTTGCTGCCTACCCATTTCTCTGCTAAAAACTTTGATAAGTCTGACAACATAATCAGCTTTGAGAACTCTGAGATGTTTTTAAAGCTCACCAAAACCCTTTCACTTCTGTTTATCCTGTAGATAGCTAGCATAGATAACTATTTATCCTTCTTCCCAGCAGTGTGAGAGGTGTGCTCTGTCTCCCTGTCGTTCACGTAACTTTGGAGAGGGATTGCTAAACAGGCAGACGGACAAGCTATCCAAGGAAGGGCTGATCTCAAGCCTTTCTCCTCTCTGCCCCTGCCCCTGGGACCATCGGCAACTGAGCCATGACCACGTCAAGGCTCCCAGCCCATGGTGACACAGACCAAGACCTCAATGAGCCGCTAGGGCCCAGGAACCCGTGGAGATGTAAAGCACAGCAAACTCAACTCCAGCAGCGCTGACGCGCAATACTGGGTGCCTCTTCCTCAAACGGAGGGATAGGTCATGGGGATGAGTGGCTGTGGGTATAGAAATAGGCTGAAGACAGCAGTACACATCCAGCCTGTCTCAGTCTACCCTGGTAAAAGTGCCCTAGATCCTCTTTAAGGCATCATGTCAAGGACGCAAATTGCCATCAGCGCTAATCAGTGTTGTGGCACGTGTGTATACATCTCCTGAGAACTAAGGACAGACCACAGCCTTCACAGAAGTCCTCATTGCCTGCTGTCAAGATCGTCCTCCAATAACATTATTTCCTGTTTTTCCTTTTTCCCCATGTAATCCCCCCTCCTTTCCCAAGTTAGCTCTTGCTCATGAATAAAACACTACAAGAAGCCCTTAGTTTTCTAAAGTGTCCTCTGCTTCCTGCCTAAATGAGCTGCTTTGGTTTCAGCCACCACAGCTGCTGTTTGCACTATTCAGCCATTCAGGATTGTTCAGCTCAGCAAAATCCACTCTGAAAAAGATGGCAAGAGCTGCCTTGCTTATTTGACAAATGTGAGCTAATGTTTAAAAGGAGAGCTGGCTCCTCTGCCCTTGAGAAAACTAGTTATACACTCTCAGCAACTCTCTAATGACATTAACAACTCTTACCAGTACTTATTTGAATGGAAATATTCTATCTATCTTCTGTATTATACCTCCTCCCATATTTTTACAACAAATTGAATTAAAATGTCCATTTGTTAGTCTGTGATTGTGCTACTTGACTACTGGTCATTCAAAGACTCAAGGCTCTGCGGTGCACAGCACCCATGTTTTCAGTTCCTTTATGACAGGCATAAGGAAAGCTGCAAATCTGCAGCCAAGCACTCTTGATCTCATTTTCTGATGACCTCCCCCTTCACTACCAGAAAACCATGGCAGCACAAGTTGTGCAGAACTGGGGGGAAAAGGTATTCAGCACCACTCATTTTGCTGCCACATCAGACACAAGAGCTATCATCAATCAACAAGGCGCTCTTTAGCTCTACTTATAAAATTTTGATGTAGAACTGTCTCGGGCACTCACATTCGCTTTACATAACTTTAAATTATTTCATAATGCTATTTTGGGTTTTTTTGAGCTATAAGGGACATTCATAGCAACTGGAGGGTCTCACTCAGCAGCAGAAATGAATGAAAATGCAGAGAAAACACAGGCAAAACACACATATTGATATTCTGTTGTTCCTCGTGCTTCAGTTACAGAAGTACTAATCCCAATAGTAGGATGTTGCCCAGATTGTTGCACTCTTGTCAAGTTAATGATTTTAGCATGATTTTTGTTTCTAAGTAGATTAGAGAATAAAAATATTTGACTGGAAATGAGAATAAAATATTTTCAATTTCTTTGCATTTGAAGCATATAAGTATATTGACAGAACTGTCCAGATTTTGCAGCTGTCTACTAAAAAATATATTCAGTTCTGCCTTTCACAAACATGCCTAAAAATTACAAGTCATATCATTCTTTACCCATGATCTATATCACCAGATTGTGCAAAATATTCTTTCAGGAGTTAAGGAGGTACTCAGATTTAAATGCGTCATTTCATCGTTTCTCTGTTTTCAGAGAATGAAAACATACTGATGAACGAACAGCCTCACAGCTGTGGAAACAAATGCTGCTTTTCTCCCCGACTGCCTTCACTAGCATCCTCACAGATGACTTAAGCATCATCTTTCCCAAATTACTGGAACACTCTGCATGTGCGGCCATATGCATATTGATGTTCTGTTGTTATCAGACGCTTACATTGCACAGCTTCTAATTACAGAATTGGACACAAACTAGACGATAGTCTGTCAAATTAATAAATTGTAACTCAGTCATTTCTGGCACCACAAAGCCCTATTGTATTTAATTTTTAACTGATTTTGTTTTACAGTATAAGGATGTTAATGACTTCCTTATAAAAACAAAAAGTAATATTACTCCAGAAAAAGGCTTATGGATGGATGTTTATGACATATTTAGGGGCTAATATAGAGTCAGCTGCTTCTTTTAGGCATAGCTCATGCATGTTTCTTTTCATACTCTGCCTGCTCCAAATAGAAATAGCTAAAACAAAACAATAGGAGGTAAATGACTAAATGCCTTGGAAGATACAGACCCAGGTCCTTAATTACAATCAGTTTGGTCAAGGTCCATAAGGTGCTGAGCATCTCCTGTAATGGCAGTGAAGGAGCAGTGGAAGACATCCAGCACCTTGAAACCCTGCTGGATAGTTTTCTCTAAACTCAGAGCAGCAACCGGAATAACCTCTGCTGACAGTGAATGATCATATACCACTGCAGGTCCGGTTTTTCCTTATGAGAAATAAAAAGTTAATGCTTTTCACATCCTAACCTATATGGAACTGTGCAATTTTTGCCCTCTTTTTTTTCAATGTAAACTTATGCAAATTACAAGAATCCTCTCCCTTCTGAGTGTAGGAAAGATTAGATTTTTAATTGCATCAGCTACAGTGGAAAATAATAAGCTCCTTTTATTAAGCTAAGTTTTAAATTAAGCACCATGAATGAAATAATTACAACATCACCTCTGTTTTGTATTAGGAGATAGAGGAAGGGAGAAGAAAAAAAAAATCAATGTGATATAATAGGCACAGGATGGATGGATGAATTGGTCTTAAAGTTAATGAGCTAGGAGCTGGCAGTCATTAAATACAAAACAAATAACCCCCTCTGTTTCTGATGTGATGACGGATGGATCCGTGACCTGAGCTCTAAGGACAATTGAACTCCGGTGCCCAGAAGCGATTGCAAGCCTGCAGCCCTAAGTGCTTTTCAGGCCCCAACACGGAAAGGCTCAGCGCCTTTCCAGCCTTCTAAGGTCTGCCTCCGAGTGTAAGCAACAGACGGCTTTGAAAGTCTCCAGTCCTCTCAGGCTTGGTATCTGCGCCTTGGAGTAGCAATACGTTCAGGACAATTAGCTCTCCAATGTTATGTTATTACTGTATCGGTTTTCCAGTTTGGGTGTGTGATTCTTTATCTTCTTCATCTCTGAACGCAGAGTAGAATAGAGCGTATCCAGAATCCTCAGTGTCAAATTTCATGTAATTCTACTGGTTTACTGATTTATAAATAGAAGTGTGCTTAGAACTGTATGAATATTCATATCAACAAATAGTTGAAAGCTAGGGAAAAGGGAAATTGGGATGGGACTTAAGCTTTTAAATACATTAACTGTAGCCAAATGACAAGATACAACTGTAAACAGAATCACCTCAATATGACATAAAATCGTTCATTTCCAAAGCATGCCTGGCTGCTTATCTGATTTCTTCAGAGACTCACATCAGTCCCACAGCCACAGCGTTTGCTGCAGCATTCAGCCACTTGTAGAACTGTGCTCCCAGCCCTCATCTTTCACTGAACCCCCAACGTACTCACGCCAGATACTCCTGGAACCCCACGGGCAGACAAAATATCACTAAAAGCCCTGAGACTTTCCTAAAACAAGATCATTACCATTTTTCTGATTTTTTTTTCCTCTAATCACCTGTGATAGATAGGTAGAAGATGTAAGCATGATTTTTACCTTCTAGTGATAAAAAATTGGATTTTTCTCTAGATATTTCTGTTGCAGCATAGTCCATCTCTTGCAGTATCCCATGTTAAAAAAAAAACAGTTCAAAAAATATATATATGCAATGTGTGTTTTGCTTCAGTGACTGTGACCTTTTAAAAATATTCAAGCTGGTGTTCAATTTAATTACATTTCAATAGCAAATACATTTTAATGCGCAGAGGACCATTCTCAAAGTTCACGAAACCGTTTGCATAGATGAAAGAAGGAGCTGAAAGACTGTAATAGAAAAAAATAGCTGTAGGTTCTTCTTAAATATAAGAAAAATTTGAAACCAGCAAGTTTGCACATATGTAATCTGATAACACAGGCTTCTGATCACCCCCAGCTCCAAACCAG